AACATTTTGTTTTGACATAATAACTTCTGTGGGCGTGGTATAAAACATATTATTATATATCAATAGTCAAAGTCGCATTTTTCTAGTGTTTTATTGGTTGAGAGCATATCACGTGAGAGTGACGAAATTAGGCTGTCTCCCTCGCAACAGCGCGAGAGGGAGATAATACGTTATCCACCGGCGAATAACAAAAAAAATCACGTGCGCCATCACGTGAAGGTGCGACCTTTGGACATGCCTAGTACGTAATTAAAACTTTCGCTTCTTATAACTGCAGTGTAGCCAGTGTTTAATATAACGTTTTAACAATAAAATATTTCATGTATTTACGTTCATTTGTTCTTTAATTTGTTGTTTCTTTGACTATTGATATATAATAAAACACTTATTTACTGAGACCTCGTCAAAACTCGAAAGGACACTTGTATTACAGAGGTTTGTTACGTAAACATATCCAAAAGGTGCTATAAATCTGTTATTTCGCTTTCTATAGCAATTTTGTCAGTATAAAGTCAGTCCGTGTGAAAAATAAGAAGAAATTTTCGCGTGCAAAACAATGTGCTTGACACCACGCCCACAAAAGTTATTATTGCAAAACAAAAAGTTTTGATTGACAAACTCATGCTGAAGAACCGTTTTGAAACGTAGTTATAAATGCACGCTTCACGGAAGCTCGAAAATGGTAGTAACAGGTTATCTACCACCCAAAATCGAAACCACCTGCCCGCATTGAACGTTGGGCCCTTCGCCTTCAAGAATATCGATTTAAACTAAAGTATCACCCTGGCAAGACAAATCCCGCAGATGTGTTATCACGCCATCCTGTGGAACAGAAACATAAAGAAAATGCAGGTGAAGCATATACTAACTTTTTTTGCCACCAATACGGTACTAAAGTCAATGAAAATAGCAGAAATCGAGAAGAAAGTTTGAAAGGACAAAGTCATTATTCAAGAAGTTATCGCAGCAATTAAATTCACAACATGGGAAAATTCAAAAGATCAGCGGGAACCAGAAATACGAGCATAGTGTGAGCTACGTGTGACCGACAGCGGCATTCTCCTACGAGATCGACAGATAGTTATGCCCAGGTAACGCACCTTATCAATTGCTGACGAAAGCCACCAAGGGATAATAATAATAATAATAATAAAATTGTTTATTAACACATTATCGCACCAGCATGATGGTGAATTACAACGTGTATACATTTTTAGAATATTAGAATCTATTATATACACGCATATAAAAATTTGTACGAAGATTAAAATCCATTATCAACAAGCAAGTATCGCTGTTACTTTTAACTTTGATTTTGAAACGTTCGAACACATAGCTGGAATAAAGCTATTTTTATAACGATTTGCCCGGCATTTAGGTACACTGTAGATAGTTAGATATATAGATAGATTGTTTAATAATTCACTTAGTCCGTGTTATTCCGTGTTATAATTCACTTAGTCCGTGTTATTCCGTATATAGTCCGTGTTATTCCGTAGGAGACGTCCATACATGGTTTCTCGTGTTGGTGGTGATAGACCATAAAGTTGGGAACTAGGTTTAAATGTTTTATGGCACATGATCTGTCGTTCATCTTCTAAACAAGAGCATCGTGTAATACTTAGGGCTTCGTTGTAGTTACGTCCAGGATAGATGATGCGCAAGGCTCTCTTTTGAACATGATCAATCTAATCGCAGAGGAATGGTGGTTCGTTAGTATGCCAAATGGGACAAGCATGCTCAAGAATCGATCTCACCAAGAGAAATAGATGACGAGCAGATCGGCGGAAGGAACACCACTACGACTTAACGCGCGTAAGATATATAAACGTTTAAATGCCTTTCTCACCATAATTTCCACATTCTCTTCCCATTTCAGTTTGTTGTTCAATGTTAGGCCCAGAGCTTTGAACAAATGGACCAGGTCAAGAGGAACCCCATCGATACACAATCTAGGAACGTCAGGTTAATTTTGGAGAAAGCTGATTATCATTTCCTTACACTTTTTTCCACTAATTTAAATTTCATATGTTGCGCTGCCCAAGAGTGGATTACATCCAGTTCGGATTGAAGCGTTGAAAGTTCATTATTTATAGTCATCTACACATTTCCAGTGATTTATATTAGCAGATCTCAGTACGAAAATGTTGTTGCGATAGTATAAAGATTAATGTAGTTGCGAACGAAAGTTTGGTGACCTTGTAACAAGCGAACTCCGAAACCACTCAAGATGACAAAAATGTCCAAGCACCGTGGAATGTTGGTTGTCCCTGTATCGTTCATGCAGAAGGAAAGTACTGGAAAAAATGTATCAAAATGTAGCTGATCACACTCTACGCGCTTTGTCTTCTAGAGCCAAAATATTGGAAGTAAAAAACTACTGATCTCTCCATCATATAAATCCAGTATGGTCTGACAATGAACTTTTTACATGCGTTTTGGACGAACACTGTACATTCCATCTTCGAATTCATTCCATTCCATGTTTTTTTTCATATATGTTAAAGATATCCACAAATGTTCAAGTAAACTTAGGTTTTATCTATTTGCTGATGACTCGATTGAACAGCCTCTACGCTGATAGGAACGCTAAACCTCTTGAAAGTGTAGTGAATACTGAATTACAAAAGCTCTATGATTGGCTGATCGCCAGTAAGCTAACCCAAAACATTAAAAAATCAAGCTTTGTGATTTTTCATTCTTGTCACAAAAGACTTGATTATCAACCAAAAATGTGCATATTTGATAGTGAACAAAACAAGTATGTGAAAAAACTAAAACAAGTATATAAAACCAATATTTAATATCTCGGTATTTTGATTGATAAAAATCTCACCTGGAAGCATCACATTGATGCCATTTCAACGAAAATCAGTAAGGGTATTGGACTTATTGCAAAATTCGTCGTTTCGTTCCACGAAATATACTAATCAACGTATACCAGTCCCTAATCGATCCGTACTCAGGGATGCCGGAACCAGGGGTGCAGCGGGTGCAAGTGCACCCCTTGCCTTTTGCATTTTCAACTTTGTGGGTGCAGTGTGGGTGCAGACTATGCATGGGTGTAACGGGTGCACAAAACTTTTACAGCAGACAGAATTAAACGTCGTTCGAGGATGTGTGTGGGGGTGTTCCACCCCCCAGTTGTCAGGAATTCGGCAAAATTGTTATCCATTTGGAGAAAGGTGAAACAGAAAGCATTACTTATGGAATTTTTGGCGAGAAATTACGGAGGAATTGTGCCTAAATAATTGTATTCGGTCCAAAAACATTTGGTGACGGGGAGGGAGGTTGACACGAATGTAGGATCATGACGCCCTTTCATTTTCATTGGTGCCTTTTATTAAGAAGTATGCCCTCATGTTAACCAATTGCACCCCTTGCCCTCAGCAACTTCCGGCATCCCTGTCCGTACTTAACCTACGGTATCGCTGTTTGGGGACAAGCATGTAAGACTTATCTTGATAAAATTCTAATTCTCCAGAAATGGGTAATGCGTATGATGTATTTTACAGATAGATACCCCTTACAAAAATTCCACATGATTTCACATGTGTGAAATTTCACATGTGAATTTGGAACACGTGATTTTTCACAGGTGAAATTATGTTTCACATGTTCCAAATTCACATGTGAAACTTTATATTCTTAAAAACTTATGTCACAAGACATTGGCATGTTAGTTTAAAAAACAGCATTATTATTAACTGTTCACTTCAATGTCATTTTTTAAATAAATAACAATATCCATACATATTGTACCTTTAAATTAAATAACTATTTTATAAGACGTTTGTAAACAACCCACCATTACGTAAAACAACTTATTGTTCCAAATTATTGTTCGAACACTTCCTCAACACATTCCAACACTAACTTAGATCAACCTTGGATAGCAACACTTTTCCCTTGCTAACACTCACTTCAATGTCATTACTTAACTTGCTACCACAAAATCTAGGTACCCGGACATTTTGCCGAAAGACACTTTGCCGAAAGACACTTTGCCGAAAGACATTTTGCCGAACGGACATTTTGCCGACGGTCATTTTGCCGAACGGACGTTTTGCCGAACGGATATTTTGCCGAACGGACATTTTGCCGAACGGACAGTTTGCCGAAAGGACAACTTGCCGAAAATAAAGATGTTATTTCGTCAAAATGTTTGGGACTGTGACTCATTTCTCAACTGTGTAATTCTGAACCATTGTGTAAAATAACCATTATATGGTCATTAGCAGTGCATAATGGTCATTAGCAGAGCATGACGGTTGTTAGCAGTGCATAACCATATTGACTATTGGTAGCTTGTTTGTTGCAGCGGATGACTCATTTGTTAGGAACGTGTCTTGACGTCAGATCGTAAACAAACAAGCGTATATAAAAATGACGTGAGCGAATTTCACTTCGAGAATCATGGAATACGTTCACTGCAGTTCTCGGGGAAATCACATTCATGAATGATGTTAATGATGTTATTCTTTATATCGCGAATTTTCGGTAAACTTGTCAAAAACGTGAAGAATATAAAACGAAACTATACCTCACTATCAAAGTTTCTGTCATCAAAATCGACAATTAATGACTTTAATCACAGAAACTTTGACCGTGTAAGCGAACCTTTAAAGTTCAGAAGATGTCTCTATTTTCGGCAAAATGTCCGTTCGTCAAACTGTCCGTTCGGCAAAATGTCCATTCGGCAAAATGTCCGTTCGGCAAAACGTCCGTTCGGCAAAACGTCCGTCGGCAAAATGTCCGTTCGGCAAAATGTCTTTCGGCAAAATGTCTTTCGGCAAAGTGTCTTTCGGCAAAATGTCCGGCCACCCAAAATCTACACTTTCTCCTTTTTAAGCCCGCAGTGGCAGAAAGCTTTACTGTCACTGCTAACAGAATTTGGAATGTAAGATTTTAATGTAGAGATCTTCCCCTTGGAGAAATTATAACCTCTTTCCCTTAACCATACAAGAGAGACAAACTAATGCTGAAAAATCTGCTCCCACCTGTTCTGGTAATTAGTATTCCTGCTATATTTAGCAATGGACACATGCTTAGCCTCTCGGCACTCCATAGAATTGAGGCCAAGACCAAGGCCATATTTGCCTTTCATATGCTGGGTGTGAACTGGAACGATATAGCCAATAGTCCAAACAGTAGGGTTAACACTAAAGAAAAGAGCATTAGCCCAGAAATAATTACTGCAATGCTCACCGAGATTTCTTATGTCGCTATCCGAGATGCTAAGGCGAGTGAAAAGAGACACAGCATTTCTCAGACAAAGGAAAATGTGGGCAAGAATATGCAGAAAGGTTTTTTCCCTACTAGGCTTAGCAGTAGATTCGACAACTGAAATTAAGGGCATGAAGTTTAAGAGAAATAGCCGAGAGTCCTTGCCAGTGAAGCGGTAGTCAAACTCCTTACCACTAGCATTTGTCTCATCAAACCATCTTGTTAGCTTGTTGGCTAACCTGGTCAAATGACAGTTGCGCAGAGTGAGGATATACCTCTTGAATGGCGAGTTTGTGGGAACAAGCGAAAAGGTTTTGGTTGCATCTCCAAGTCTTGACATAGCAATGACTTTATGCAATAACAGTTAGTGAGTTTGGGCACAGGCATTGTTTTTGACATGGAGTGGGTCAACATGTGCCCGATCAATAAGCCTGCCGACGACTGGCTTAAACTCTTGACGACTGTTATTTTTGGCTATAAAAGAAGTCACCTTAGACCTTAAAGTGGAAGCAGACAATTTTTTTAGTCAGGGAAGTTTTAAACTGCTCAACCTTCTTAGCAACTGACACCCTATCCTCATACTTCCGGGGTTCCCACTTTTCTTTTCGAGATGAACCAAAAGAGCCATCTAGAGCACTCATACTGTGTGTAATAACATTTGCAAATGTAGAAAACTAAGTAGCAGCATTCGACAGTTCAGCGCTCAGGAAAACCAACATCTTCATGTCGTTTGGCAATTCCGATATCTTAAATTTGACATTAACTGAATTGCCTTTATAGTCGACATGATCTATGGTATTTTCCAACTCATCAATATCTTTCACAAGCTGCTCAATAAATCTACGCATAGGAAAACAGTCTTCTTTGCAGTTACCTCCAAACAACAAGAAATTCTCGTTGCTACTAAGAACCCCTCTACCAATATTAAGGAAGCTTACCAGCCAAGAACAGGCAGTGTCTTCCTTGCCAAAAGGAGCGCTATATCACCACCAATGGAAATATAGAATGTAAAAGGTTGATCATTAAACCAGAGCAGCTCATAGTTTCCTTCATTCACCATGTAATATCTGGCAAGACAAGGCAACATCACTCTAATATTACTTAATACCCCAGAAATTTTCTCTTCCTCACTCAAACCCTCACAAAGTGTTTCTCGTACACTGTATAGCTTTCCAATATTAATGGACTTTATAAAAGGCATAAGTTTATTGTAAGGCACTAATCTAGGAATTGAACAGTTATTGACAACAATGCGTGCGGACTTTTGGTTATCAATATATTTCTGATAACTCACATCTCGATAGGCTGCACGATATTTTGCCATTATGCCACCACTATAATACACGGCAACACTTCTGATGTAATTGCTATCTGACTTCTCAAAGTCTTCCAGTGCATTCTTATAAATTTTAGGAATAACCCTTTTTGCTATTTTATCGCTATGTGAAAAAACCTCTACTAAAATGTTTTCAGGGCATTTTTGTACAGTTGTCTCACATATAGACCAACTTGCTCTGGTACAGACGACTCAGTGCTGTCTCCATGAATCTGACATGCAGCTTCAAACAGTTCTAATCTTCTAATCAGGTAGTTGCGGGCTGCTCATACAGCGTGCTAAAATGGCGTCTGTTGTCACACTAATTATTCAACCAAATTGCATAAATTCGTCCATAGGAAATACGCATCTCTTGTTAATATTGATGTCGGGACTCTACTGCAAATCGCCCAGCAAAAAATCGCCAAAACCATGAAAAAAATATTCAAAAAAAAATTTATTTCCGACCTACCGACCCTAATTTTTTCACGATATGAAACCGGAACCACAGGTATTTTTTTACGCCTTAGTGGTATAACTACAAGGAGAGTAGACTTTATTCATTCTCTACTGCTGTCAAAATTCTTTTCCAGTATTCTGAATATATCTTCACAGTAAAGCTGGCATAGTATTCTCACTGGTAGTAGTGGTAGTTAAGTGAAGCCATGAAATGTCATAGTATCTTGGCCCTGGCAACGTCCGGAAAGACACTTTCATGTGGGCGGGGGTATATGTTGTGTATCGGCCCCTAATATACCTTGTTCTAAATACTCCTGTCTATCGGCCCTAATATCTCTTTCTATTAATTAGGTATATATATATATATATATATATATATATATATATATATATATATATATATATATATATATATATATATATGTATATGTAAAACATTTATTCACAACACATTTGTTTCGTATGGCAAGCTAGGCTTGCCACACTCATCAGGTGAATGGTGATATCGCGTATTTACATGATGTTATAACCTATAGGTAACTTGAGCTGTTATATACAAATGTTTGACGTCATTAGGAAAGCGTAAATATATGTTTGTAATCTGACTACTGGCTACAGAGCAGGAATTTTTTCCTGTGCCTACATGCCGATATTAGTTCGTTTCTTGAGTTCAATGAGCTTAGTTCGGGATAGTAAATTATAACGAACTTTTCGTGCAGGCATAATTTTCAACGTTTTGTTTTGTTTGAGTAGGCCTTACATTTCTTTAAAATTTTCCAACGAATAGAGTATTCTATGTTGGACTGTTTCAACTGCCAAATATATTT